CCCCCCCCCCATCCTGCCGTGTCCTGGTTGCACCTTGCTTTGTGGATGCCTTTCCATTTTGGGGTGTGGTGATTCTGTCTGCTCTGAGCTGGGATCATTGCTTGGTGACTTTTTGAGCTAGGTCTGCACAGCTTGTAATCTGTGTGTGTGTGGCCACCAAAGTCTGTCTGTTAGCTTAGTGGCCAACTGATGACTGTAGGGGACCCACAAGATATAATCAGAGCTCATTAAAAAAAATAAGTAAGAATTTACAGAAGTGGTTCATTTCTTTTTTTTCTTGGGTCTTGGAGACCCTGTCACTGTGAGTTGTAGTTCATGCTATGCCTAGTGGGTTTGGTTAAGGCCCCCCTGTCCCCATTTTATCCATTCCTAAATGCCCCTCCCTCACTAGCCACACAGGTCCCACCACTGCCCATGTTCAGACACGCCTTCCAATAAATACATCCTGCCTCTTACCTGTGACTCCCATGCTCCCGCCTGACCCCTTCCAGCCAAGGTGTTGCTCGTGAGTGCTCTCCCGCCTGTCATATCCCCGCAGTCCCCTCCAGCCTCTCCCTGAGGAGGAGCCAGCTCCAGGTTGGTGCAGGCTGCTCTCCCCGGGCCACATTTAGCATCTAAAACTTAAACAGATGATAGCAGTTTAACTTCAGTCACGTGAAACTGTGCTGTGTACTCTTCCCCCTTCATGCCCTATGAGGACACCTGTATACTTTGTAGGCCCATTAACATAAATCTGTGATCACATTTTAAGTGTTTCCAAAACCGCAGTAAGCATACCTTTGTATTTGTCCATCAAACTTACTGTTACTGCAGATCCTTTTTTACAAACACAGTTTCAAATTACGGCCTACTTTCCTTCCACCTGAAGGACACCTTTCAGCCTTTCTTGCAGGACAGGTCTGGTAGCAAACGCCTGTATATGTGTGGCTCTTCATTCTACCCTGTGTCTTTGCGTAAGGGTGCATGTGTGTCTTCATTGCCTTCAGGCTTGTGTGTATGGGGTGTGTGTGTGTGGGGTATGTGTCCTAGACTCTGCCTGGGCTCTTGTGTATGGGGGGGGGGGGTGTCTTCATTACTCCCAGGCTGTGTGAGCGAGGGCAGCTTGCTGACGGGCCTTTCTCACCAGCACTATGAATGTGTCCCTGGCCCCTGACCTCCACGTTCCCATGGCGGCGTGCAGTCGTCCTCTGTGTTTGCCCTGCAGATGTCTCAGTCACATCTCCGTGTGGGGTCCTCTGGCAGCTGGGTCCCTCGGGTCTGCAGGCTTATATCCCTGGTCTTCAGTCATCTGTAGTATGGGTTCTGCTCCCTTTCTCTCCTTCTCCAAGGCCCCAGCGTGCTCGCTGGCAGTCCTGAGAGTGCTGGGGCTGGTGCTCTGGCTCCTCGGCCTTGTTCATACATGTGCAGTGCTAGCAGGTGTCTCTTGTCCCTTGCCATCACACCCTCTTGTCCCTTGCCTCCACTTAACTCCTTGCAGCCGGTCTTCTCCCAATTGCCAAAGTGACTTCTGGAGGCCTCTGGGCTGCCATCTCTAACCTGTAGATGGAGTGCCCAGAGGCCAGGCTGGGGCAGTGGGCCCTGTGCTGAGCCAGACCTGGCCTCACTGCTTGAGCACCCAGCTGGCTGTGTGCCATCTGCTGAGGGCTTCTCAGGGGGCTAATCAGTAGTGCTGTTGGGTGTCATCCGCATGCAGTGGCTGACTGCAGTAAGGGCAGACCCCCCTTCCTTCATGGGGGCCAGGACAGTAGACAGGGTTGGGAGGGACTTTTCCTGCCCAGACAGTCTGGGCACTTCCACTCCTGGTGGTGTGTACTGTAGCGGGGACACGCCCATGGCTGATGGTCTAGCCAGTTGTCCCACAAGGACACCCAGGGCCTGGTCCTCATTGTTAGTGACAGCACTATCGTGGTCACATTGAGAATCTTAGGCAATACTCTGCGGAAATAGGTGGGAGATGTGTGTCCCTCTTTTCACTGGCTGGCTAGGTGACCAGAGGGTAGGGGCTTGGGCTGCCATGGGCAGTTGAGTTGACCCTTTGGGATGGGTTGTGGTTGAGAGTCATCAGGTGTGGCCACCACAACAGAATGAGATGAGCAGTGAGCTCTCAGGTCCAGCAGGACTCTGCTCCTGGATTCCTGGGACTCTCTGGGGGGGACACCCAGTAGTGCTGGGAAGAGACAGGGCTGGCAACAGGCAGGGGCATGAGTGGGGCAGGGGCAAAGACAGGGGCCAGGGGCCTAGCTGGCACCTCCAGACTGACTGAGCTTCAGGCACAGGGTGGTTTGATTGAGCACCCCCTTCAGGAAGATGGGAGTGGCCAAGTGTGTTGTCTGGCCCTGGACACCATTTGGGAAGGGCCATGGGGTCTGCTGGCTAGCCCAGCCTGACGTGGATTCTGCTTCTCCCCAGCAGGCAGTGCCAACGAAGGGCGAGGTGGGGAAGGACACCTGTGTGGACACTGAACTGCTGAAAGACGGTAAGGCCTCCCCAGTGAGCCTGCCCCCTGGCCTGCTGCTCCTCCCACCCCTAGTCCCGGATTCCTTGGCATCTCCCAGGGCTCACCAGGCACAAGGGCATGTGCATGGTTGGGCTGAGACAGACAAGATTTACCAGCCCCAGAGCGCTGCCTATGCTCTGTCCTCGCCAGGAAGGCAACAGTGGCTGCCCCCTCTTTGACCCCAGCCCTGCTCCTCCGTGTACCACCTCCACCCCCACCTCCCACTCCCATGTTTGCTGCCTCACCCACCTCACTTGGCTGCTGCTGGGGGTCTTTCTCGGGTAGGTGGGCACAGTGGCCATGGTTGTGGGGTCACTCTGGTCATTGTGGCCATTGCAGTTCTGTGTCCACAGGATAGGTGGGAAAGGAGGGTGGTATCTGGGCAAGTGAGCGAGGGAGTGAGAGAGGGAGGCTGTAGGAGCTGGCTGCTCTCCATGGAGTATGTTGTATGTGTTGTCCTTTGCCCCCAGCCCCCAGCTGCACAGTGGGTGGAGATGGGCTCCCTGGAAGCAGGCAGGGCCCTGCTGCTGGAGTGGGCGAGAGGGGCACTGCAGGCAGCTCTGTGCCTCTGTCACTCCTCTGAGCATGTGCTGGGATTCTCCAATGGCCCCCAACTCCTGCTGGGGCCTCCCTGCTGCCCTGTCTCAGTGATGAGCCATTGGGGCATAGAATCAAGGTCTCCTGTGCACCTGGCCTGCCCTGTGGTGTCTTCATCGAGGCAGAGTGAGGTGTGGGAAGATAGAAGGAAGCCAGTGCATGTCAGAACCTGGTAGTTGCGCACGCTGCCCACAGGAGCCCCTGCAGAGTCCTTGAAGTCAAGGCCCAGTTCTGGGGGGGCTCCTGGAGTGGCCTGGTGGCTCTGTAGGATTGGCTTTGGACTGTAAACCATAAGGTCAGCAGTTCAAACCCACTAGTTGATTCTTGAGAAAATGATGAGGTTGGCTGCTCCTGTAAAGATTTATAGCCTCGAGCATGATAGTGGGACAAGAGGAAAGTAAAAGGAAATAGAGGAAAGAAGTAGGAGGCAAAGGGCATATATAGAGGTCTAAATACAGACATGTACATTTGCAAATATATTTATATATGATGATGGGGAAATAGACCTATGTACATATATTTTTAAGTTTAGTACTAAGGTAGCAGATGGACATTGGACCTCCACTCAAGTACTCCCTCAATACAAGAAAACTTTGCTTGATTAAATGGACATTCCATGATACCCACCTTCCCGATACGATAGCTGAAGACTAATGTGTGCATAAGCAAATGTGGTGAAGAGAGCTGATGGTGCCTGGCTATCAAAAGATGGTGCCCGGCTATCAAAAGACCTGGGGTCTTAAAGGCTTGAAGGTAAACAAGCGGCCATCTAGCCCAGAAGCAACAAAGCCCACATGGAAGAAGCACACCAGTCTGTGTGATCACAAGGTATCGAAGGGATCAGGTTATCAAGCACCAGTAAACAAAAAAAATCATATCATGAATGAGAGGGAGTGTGGAGTGGGGACCCAAGACCCATCTGTAGGCAACTGGACATCCCTTTGCAGAGGGATAGCGGGGAGGAGACGAGTCACTCAGGGTGCAATGTAGCATCGATGGAACACAGCTTTCCTCTAGTTCCTAAATGCTTCCTTCCCCCCACTATCATGATCTCAATTCTACCTCACAAACCTGGCTAGACCAGAGGATGTACACTGGTGCAGATAGGAACTGGAAACACAGAGAATCTGGGACAAACGAACCCCTCAGGACCAGTAGTGAGAGTGGCGATATTGCGGGGGTGGAAGGAAGGTGGGGTAGAAAGGGGGAACTGATTACAAAGATCTACATATAACCTCCTCCCTGGGGGATGGACAGCAGTAAAGTGGGTGAAGGGGGGAGACGTTGGGAAGTGTAAGATTTGATAAAATAATAATAATTTATAAATTATCAAGGGAGTGGGGAGCAGAGACGGAGGGGAAAAATGAACGGATTCCAAGAGCTCAAGTGGAAAGCAAATGTTTTGCGAATGATGATGGCAACAAATGTACAAATGTGCTTGACACAATGGATGTATGTATGGGTTGCGATAAGAGTTGTACGAGTCCCCAATAAAATGGTTAAAAAAAAAAAAGATTTATAGCCTCAGAAACCCCAAGGGGCCGTTCTCCGTCCTGTCGCAATGAATATTGACTTGATGGCCATGGATATGGTTTCATTTCTTACCTCCTTCCACCAGCTTCCTCTTCCTCGGTGACAGCTGCCTGGGTGGTCCCCCCAAGCTGCCTCCTGCTCTTGGGAGACCCCCACTTTTGTCCGACTTTTCAGTGGCGCTGTATCCCCTCTGCTCCCATAACTGGATTTCAGGAACTCCATCTTTATTCCTGAATGTTCCTTTTTGTATTTATTAAGAAACAAAACTCACTACTATCAAGTTAATGCCGACTTACAGCACTCCTGTGGGTTTCTGAGACTGTAACTGTTTATGGGAGTAGAAAGCCCAGTCTTTCCAACAGAGCTGCTGGTGGTTTCAAACTGCCGACCATGCGGCTCTCAGCCCATCGCGTAAGCACCACACCACTAGGGCTCCTTCCTCTTTGTAAAGCATATTATTATTATTTACAGTTTTATTGGCACATAATTCACATATCATACAATACAATAAGTAGCTCATTCATATTAAGAGTTGTACTATCATCACCACAATCAGTTTTAGAACATTTTCTTTTTCTTTTACTCAATGTTATTAGCACCCCATCTTCCCCCAACCTTCCCTCCATGCCGCCAAGGAACCATGAATCCAGTCACTGTCTCTATAGATTTACCTATCCTGGATTTCATATGCAGAAAAGCATACAAACAGCAACAAAAAGCAGCAAACAAACAAAAATAAAAATAGAGGAAAACCTCAACTGAAAGAGATAATGTTAAAAACGCGAACACTTTAGAAAGGGTCAAAAGAGAGGTCAAAGGAGCAGGTGTCACATTTTACCCTGCTTGCCACGCACCCTGCAAGGTTGTTCACATCCCTGGTCTGTGGTCAGAGAACAGTCACCACAAGTGTGAGCCACGTGGATTTCCTTGTCCCTTTTTTTATTTTAAAAAAAATAGAAACAACTTAAAAAAGGCTCAGAAAGGAGATCAAATTATAAGATACTGTATTTTGACCTACTATAACTGCCATAATCAACTTTACAATGTTCTCTTCTGATATCAAGCCTATTTACATCCCTGGACCATAGTCAGAGGGGGTTCATCAGTGGTTTAATCCATATGTGGACCCTGCAGAAGCACTTTGGACTTCCACTGTTATCCAGAACCCTGCACACCAGGCGTTCACAATTTAAGCTCTGATACCATTCCCTCCTGTGGTTTTGGATTTTATTGTTTCCAATCCTTGAGTTATACAGACTGGCGTGCTTCTTCCATCTGGACTCAGTTGATCCTTATATTTTTCCATTAGATAGAAATTTTGCTGTAGTTGAAGAATCATGCAACATTTTGCTTAATACTATTAATGTTTGAGATTAATACTTAATCTCAAATTGACATTTAAAGCCTCTGGAAGTCTGCTCAAGTGAAACTACTAGACACCATGCGCACTGTCTGATAAGCACTTCCACTTGCTGATGTGGTTGACCCTGACTGACTCATGTTGGGCGTTGGGCTCAGTGGCACAGACATTGTGCTGAGCAGACGGATGCTTGGAATTAGCTGGCTGCCATTGAGTTGGGTCTGACTCCTGGCAGGGCGGCCCCTGTGTGTCCAGTAGGACTGTGCCCACAGGGTTGGTGGTGGCTTTGGCACACTGTGAGCACATGGCCAGGCCTTCCTCCCCGCCTGTGAGTGCTGGGGGAAGCATATGGGGCTGGCACTCGATGGAGAGAGCTCTTCTCATGCTTCAAGCTGGGTCTGGTAGTCTGTGGTCTGTTGCTTTCCTGGTGATCCTTCTTGTCCACCTAAGCATGGGGGGCTTCTGGGCATGTCTAGCAGGGATGTTCCATGGTCAAGGCCAGGCTTGGGACCCCAGTATTTATCATCAATGCCAAGGAGGATGAAAGCCTGATTGTCTTGCCCCCATCTGGGATGTTCGTTGTCACCCCTGACGCCAGTGGGTGGGGAGCCCAGAACCAGCATGCCCAGCTCCTTGCAGTGGCAGCTCTGCTCCCAGCCTCCTTGTGGGGTTGCCCGAGTCTAGGCCTGCTGTGGGAGGCTGCAGGTCAATCAGGCTGATCTTTTGCGCTCTGGGGACCCGTAGAAGCCAGTGCTGCAATGCCGTTCCTGTCTGCTTTCCAGCTACCACACGTGTCACTCTTGATGCTTCCTGTGGGGTGTCTCTTCCTGTAATTGTTCTAGATGAGGCAGATCAGTTCTGACAACAGAACAAAACTGCCTGGTCTGGGGCTGTGCTCACAGTTGTTATGTTGGATCCCCTGGTTGCAGCCATGGTGTCCCTCTGCCTGGTGGGGAGGGCGGGCTTTCTCTTTTTCCCTGACTCTTCCCTTCAGAGGTGTCATTGAGCTGCATTTCACAAGGGTACTATGCCACCACCAGCACGGCCTGTCTCTGGAGGCCCTGCCCAACCTGGGCAACCCTTTTTGTCTTCATACCTTGGCCCATGCTGGGTGCTCCTATGGTTGAGCTCACTGAGCGTGCTGCTTTCAAAGCATGCCCTGCATCTCCTTCCTATTGGCTGGCGTTCCCACAGCTAGGCTGTCCATCCGCCCCTGTCTTGTTCCTGGTGGTCACCGCTCACCCTGAAGGATGGCATTGGCTGTAAGATTTCTCAGGCACCCCTTTCAGGCCCTGGGCGATTTCTTCTGCACTTGCTTATTTAGGACATTTTGTCATGAGAAGGATGTCTGTGGAGACAATTGCATGGTCTTTATTTGATTGGTCCCTAAACCGAAATACCCAGGCCTATTGCCATCAAGTCAACTTCAATTCGTATCCACCCTAGGTAGGGTCCTGAGGCGTTAAGTGTTTACAGGATCAGACAGCCT